TCCTCATCATCATCATCGGGGCACCATCATCATCATATCATCATCATCATCATCATCATCGTCCTCATCATCATCATCAGCATCACCATCACCATCATCATCATCATCGTCATCATCATCATCAGCATCATCATCATCAGCATCACCATCATCATCATCGTCATCATCTTCATCTCATCACCTCATCATCATCATCATTATCATCATCATCATCATCATCATCATCATCATCATCATCATCATCGCGGGACACCGCGGGACACCGGCGGGACACCGCGGGACACCGCGGGACACCGCGGGACACCGCGGGACACCGGCGGGACACCGCGGGCCACCGGCCGCCCGGAAGGGAGACATTTGGTCCGGCCGCGCCTCAGCCACACGGGACACCAGCGGGACACCGGCGGGACACCGCGGGCCACCGGCCGCCCGGAAGGGAGACATTTGGTCCGGCCGCGCCTCAGCCACAGGAGACTTTCTCTCGCCCGCCCACGCAGCTTCGCCTCGCCCGCACGGCACGCACGAACACGAAACCGAAATCGATTTCCCGGTAGGGGGGCTCTCCGTTCCACTTCGATCTCACCCCCTCACCTCCGATATATATATATATATATATATTATATATATATATATTGTATATACCTATACGACCACCCTTCGGGTGATAAGGAGGTTCGGGGGGGGAGGAACCAACGTCTCACTCGATCGGTTTCACTATCGATCTCACTATCGATCTCACTATCGGTCTCGCTCGATCGATCTCACTCGATCGATCTCACCATCGATCTCACTCGATTTATTTCATTCGATCGATCTCACAATCGATCGGACTATCGATCTGACAATCGATCTCACTATCGATCTCACGATCGATCTCACAATCGATCTCACATTCGGTCTCACTACCGATGTCATTATCGATATCACCATCGATCTCACAATCAACACCATCATTAACATCATCGTCATCAACGTCATCACCATCATCATCATCATTTCATCATCATCGGGACACCATCATCATCACCTCATCATCGTGATCCTCAACATCAGCATCACCACCACCACCACCACCATCATCATCATCATCATCGTCATCATCATCATCACCGGGACACCATCATCGTCACCATCGTCATCATCAACATCATCATCATCGGGACACCATCATCGTCATCAATCGGAACACCATCACCATCCCATCATCATCATGAACAACATTATCAACATCATCAGCATCGCGACACCATCATCATCAGCAGCATCATCATCATCAACATCATCATCGGGACACCATCATCATCATCAACATCAGCATCCTCTGCATCATCGGGCCACCATCATCAAAATCATCATCATCACCTCATCATCGTCTTCATCATCAACATCATCGGGACACCATCATCGTCATCATCATCATCAACGTCACCATCATCATCGCGACACCATCATCATCACCATCATCATCATTAACAGCATCATCATCAACCTCATCCTCATCATCATCCTCATCCTCATCGGGACACCATCATCATCATCTTCATCATCATGATCATCGATCACTCACATCATCATGATCACCAACATCATCATCATCGGGACACCATCATCATCAGCAACATCATCATCAACATCATCGGAACACCATCATCATCACCACCATCACCATCATCACCAACATCGGCAACATCATCATCATCGGGACACCATCATCATCTCCACCATCACCATCATCATCCACATCATCGACATCATCGTCATTATCATCATCATCATCGTCATTGTCATCGTCATCTTCATCATCATCATCATCATCATCATCCTCATCCTCATCATCATCATCATCATCATCATCATCATCATCATCATCGGGACACCGACGGGACACAGGCGGGACACTGGCGGGACACCGCGGGCCACCGGCCGCCCGGAAGGGAGACATTTGGTCCGGCCGCGCCTCAGCCACACGGGACACCAGCGGGACACCGGCGGGACACCGCGGGCAACTGGCCGCCCGGAAGGGAGACATTTGGTCCGGCCGCGCCTCAGCCACAGGAGACTTTCTCTCGCCCGCCCACGCAGCTTCGCCTCGCCCGCACGCACGGCACGCACGAACACGAAACCGAAACCGATTTCCGGGTAGGGGGGCTCTCCGTTCCACTTCGATCTCACCCCCTCACCTCCGATATATTTATATATATACATATATATATATATATATATATATATATACATACACAAATATACACACATTCACACATGCGTACAGACAAATATGCATACATACGCACATACACACTCACCTATATATATATATATATGTATTTGTGTATATATTTAGTATATATATAAGTATGTATGTATATAAATATACATATATATATATATATATATATATATATATATATATATATATATGAAATGAATGCATCCTACAGCCATCGCGCGCGCTTCGCGCGCGCTCAAGTTCTAGCTAGGCTTGATCGGCTAACTCATGTAATATAAGCAAGCCTCGGAATGGTATAGAAGGGGAAGTGCGGAAACGCAGAAATCATTAATTTCCTTCAGGAGTTCAACGATTTGGGGATCTCAAAAGCTTCCTGGGTTCTTTATGGGAGGTGAGGGGGGTTTGAATTGTGGTCTGTTGTGCAAGAGTAGACCAGGGGCCATACTTGGAAACAAAGGAATTGGGATCTTAATTTTTTCCAATTCCTCGGCACTGTTCGGCGCTGTTTTTTGTTTGTGCCTCGCGGGTTTTGTTAGCCGGGACCCTTAGGGGTGTGGAATCTTCCAGACACCCCCTGGGGGTTTTGGAGGCCTCCTGGAGGCCTGGAGAGCCGTCGGAAGGGTGTCTCGGGCTGCGCGGGTGCGTGTTGGCCGTTCTTCACGTTCTGGGGGCTCCTTGGGGTCGTCTTGGGCTGTCCTTGGGCGTCTTGGGGGGGGCCCCCCGGAAGCCGGGAGGCGCGGTACCGGCCAGATGTCAGGGGATGTGTGGGATCTGCGAGTAGGAATTCACGTTCAAAAGAAGAAGAAGAGCTTCTGGGCATCCCCTTTTTTGTTCGAACTCCTCGATCTTCGAGGGTTGGAGGCGGGAAAACGTGAGAAGGCGAAAGTCATTAGAAACACCGGCGGAAATCAACGAGTTTCCCCTCTTTGGGCTCTCTCGGGTCGGCTCTCGCAGCTCTCTTGGGCTGTTCTTGGGGCCTCGTCGGGGTCTTCTCTCAAGGATCGGGGGGGGTGCTGGGGGCCTCTGGGGGGTCCCCCGGAGGCCTCTCGGAGGTCTCTGGGAGCCTCCTGCTCCCGCTCTTGGGCCCATCTTGGGCCTGTTCTGGGGTGGTCTGGGGCTGTCCTGGGCGCCTCTGCGGCAGTCTTGGAGCCTTCTTGGCCCGTCTTGGGGCCGTCCTGAGGGCCTCTTGGGTGGTCTTGGGGCGGTCTTGGGAGCCTCTTCGGCGCTCTTGGACCGTTGGAAGCTCGAAAACGCGAGAAGCCAAAAACATTGAACAAACCAATGAAAATCTACGATTTTGGCCTCTTCGGGCTTTCCCGGGACGCCTCTCGGACCTCTCTTGGGGTATCTTGGAGGCCACCTGGGAGCCTCGAGAGACATTGGAAGGCTGACTTGGGCTGCCTGGGAGCGTCTTGGACCATCCTTTCGCATTCTGGGGGCTCCTGGGAGGGGTCTTGGGCCCTGGGGCCTGGGACGCTGTGGAGGCTCCCTCGAAAGGCCGGGGGAGCGGTACCGGGAGCGTCCCCGAGATGTGGCGGAGAGGTGTGGGGGGGGGGGGGCGGTGTTTATCTATTCACATTACATTATATTATAATATAGTATATCGATGTATGTTTGTATATATGTATGTATGCATGCATGCATGCATGCATGCATGCATGCATGTATGAATGTACGTACATACGTACGTACGTACGTACGTATGCATGCATGCATGTATGTATGTATGCATGTATGTACGTATGCATGCATGCATGCATGCATGCATGCATGCATGCATGCATGCATGCATGTATGTATGTATGTATGTATGTATGTATGTATGTATGTATGTATGTATATATGCATGCATGCATGCATGCATGCATGCATGCATGTATGTATGCATGTATGTATGTATGTATGTACTCCCTCTCCAATTCCTACAAACCTCGATGAGAACCGGAAGGTCTGAACTTCCTGTGTCAGCCAGTCCACGGGCCGACGAAAGAGGTGAGCTTCAGCTTGAGCCCCATGTGAAGAACTGAGCTTCGATCGTCTCGGACAATGCTAAACGATGCTCAAGGGTGCAATTCTGAATTAGAGGGGGATGCGAGGAGCGGGGATGCAAGAGGCAGGGTGATGCGTGACGGGAGGGCAGAAAATAAAGGGGGCCAGGAGGGTGGACATCGGAAACCGTATGCTTCCTGATAAGTTTGATCCAGATGTGCATTTTCAAGGTGCAGAGGACACTGATGAAAAGAATCCTCACGCACTGAAAAGGTGAGGGAGGCGATAGAAAACAGTACGCTCGACATCAGGGCGCGGGCCAAGCAAAATCAGGGCATTCCAGGGTTGCCTCTAGGGTGGCTGAATCAAAACCACGATATTTTCGCGCAACCATTATCTTCGTCTCTCGCCACTGGCCTCTGCCCATGCCTGCAGTAACTTTTCTCCCATAAGGGAAGATTGATAAGATGCTACTTAGCAATTCGCAGGAGACCCCAAACCAGGAACAGGCCCAGCGAGCGGCGAGAGAGGGGGGGGAAGAGAGAGGTGGATGAGTGTGTGGCGGGGGGGGGCGGGGCGGGGGGGAGGGGGGGGAAAGTGGGGAGTGTGGAAGGTGGATGAAGGTGGCGGGGGGAGGAGGTGGAGGGGGGGCGGGGGGCGAATGAGGGGAGACGAGGGCGGGGGAGGAACTGGGGACTGGGAGAGGGGGGGGGGGAAGGAAGGAAGGCGCGCCCCACCGGCGCGCTGGCGGCCCCCGCGCCGCGCCGCCCTCCCCCCGGCGCACAGCGCGAGGTAGTGCACGGGCTCCCTGCTGTTGTTGGACGACGCTGGCGGGTGATCTCCCCGCCCGACGGAGGGAGGAGGAGGAGGTGGAGGAGGAGGAGGAGCGCAATGAGGAGGAGGAGGAGGAGGAGGAGGAGGAGGAGGAGGAGGAGGAGGAGGAGGAGGAGAAGGAGGAGGAGGAGGAGGAGGAGGAGGAGGAGGAGGAGGAGGAAGAGCAGGAGGAGAAGGGGGGGGGGAGGAGGAGGCTATTGGGCTATGGGGGCCTTGGAACAAATCCCTCGCATCCAGCGAGCCAACTACTTAGTAGTCGGGTTCCTCTCACCACTCCCGCCAGCAAGGAGCCGAGCCTCATCATCTAGGCGCCTCTCGTCTCGGTAAAACTCGACCGCCCCACGCGGATCGACACAACCGTGCAACTGCGCCACTCGGTGTATATATATATATATATATGTATATATGCGCAGCCCCCCCCCCAGCACCCGTTGATTTTGCATCGATCGTTGACCTCAACTTCTTGCCATCATTCATTTCTCTCCCCCCCATCGCCTTCCCCGTCTTGATCCCTCGCTCTTCCTCTTCATGCTTCCCTCCCCCATCCACGTCTTCTTCACCTTCATGCCTTTTCCCCCCAAGCGTCGCAATACCTGGGAGGAGGAGGAGGAGGAGGAGGAGGAGGAGGAAGAAGAGGAAGATGAGACACCTGCGGGTCGCGGGGCCCATGGGTGCCACGGAGGGCCCATCGACGTCCTATACTCCTTCGTGCTTATTCCTCCCATCTTCCTCCCTGTCTTGATTCCTCCCTCCCCAAGAGGCACCGAACCCTTTGATTTCACAGGGATGCTTGGGATTTCTGGGATGTTAATCCCACAAACCCTATGATTTCACAGGGATGCCTGGGATTTCCTACCTCCGACAATAATCTACCCAGGGCCCCCCCCCCCTCCCCAAGGCCGCGAATCCCAAGCGTCCCTGTGAATTCGCAGGGATGCTTGGGATTCGGAATCCTGGGGAGCTTCAGGGTGGAATTGTGTCGGAGGGTGGAGAATCCCAGGAATCCCAAGCATCCCTGTGAAATGACACGGTTTCTGGGTTTCTCATACCAGAAATCCCAAGCATCCCAATGAAATCGCACGGTTCGTTTCCGCGTCACTGTGTGTAGCGCGCATGCTTTTCCCTGCGTGGCATGCTGCAGCGTGCCCCGATTCCTTCTCTTAGTTTTCCTCAGCCTTCTCCCCCTCCTCCCCCTCCTCCGCCTCCTCCTCCCCCTCCTCCTCCTCTTCGTCTGCCTCGCCCTTCCCGTCCGCCTCCTCCGGGGCCCAAGAGGCACCGAACCGTGTGATTTCATTGGGATGCTTGGGATTTCTGGGATGAGAAACCCAGAAACCGTGTCATTTCACAGGGATGCTTGGGATTCCTGGGATTCTCCACCCTCCGACACAATTCCACCCTGAAGCTCCCCAGGATTCCGAATCCCAAGCATCCCTGTGAATTCACAGGGATGCTTGGGATTCGCGGCCTTGGGGAGGGGGGGGGGCCCTGGGTAGATTATTGTCGGAGGTAGGAAATCCCAGGAATCCCAGGCATCCCTGTGAAATCATAGGGTTTGTGGGATTAACATCCCAGAAATCCCAAGCATCCCTGTGAAATCACAGGGTTCGGTGCCTCTTGGGCCCACTGTGTGTGCAGAATGCTCGCCACAAGCTCAGGGTTCCCTCATTCGGGGGAAGGCGCCGTGTGCATGTTCTACAGTGCGCTGCCGTCAGGCGTTGGCCAGCCTTGCGGCCAGAGCGCGCGCGAGTGGAGTCGAAAAAACGCCCCCGCTGACGCCAGGGGAAGATGTAAGCGAGGAAGGGGAGGGAAAGGAAGGGGAGTGAAAGAAGGAAGGGAAAGGAAAGGAAGAGGAGTGTAGAACATCGCCAAGAGAAAGAAGGCGATGAATGGGTGCTGGGGTGGGGGCTGTCCATATATATATATACACATATACATACATATATATATATATATATATATTATATATAATATATATATATATATCAATGGCCTCGGGGATACCCAGCCCATACGACAAGATGGGTTCAGCACTCCGCTCCTGTACGTGTGTCCTTGTGCTGATTATGCTTCCATCCGCCCAAGAAGATTGGACCATCGACGCCGACCTGCGTCGCGCAAAGAGAGGCTCAGGCAGCAAGGTTCATCTGACGGACACATGGAGAAAGAGGGGGGGGGGGGGCAGAAAGGGGGGAGGGGCTCGACCCGGATCGCCGACGCCGTGACTCTTTCTCACAATGTGGGCCTCCGGAGGTCTGGCTCTTTTCCCCGGGACCAGCCCTTCAGTAGAAGAAGAGAAAACGGCATAAACATCAACTTTTGGCGCTCCGCACGGGTTTCTTGAATCTGCGCTGGACCCCCCGGAGCGCGCCAGGGGCGGCGCCGGAGGCGCCGCCGGGGGGGGGGGCACAACGCGGATCCAAGGCGTCCGCGCGGAGCGCTACAAGTTTGCGTTCATGCCGTTTTCTCTTCTTCGAGTCACCCCGGGCCGTTTTCTGACTGAGAGCCACTGGGCTTAAGTCGGGCCTGTCCTCTTTCTGGGGGATTCTGGACGAAACAAAATAAAAAATACCCCCAAAATACCCTAAATGGTCAAAACATATTCCAAACATCGTCCCCTATTTATGTAATTTCTTCAATATTTTTGAATACTCTCTCTGTGTAGGGAACCAAACACTATACACCAACGACCGAAGTCTGCAAACAAGAAAGCGGATCCTCGTGTATACGGGATCCTGGTGTATAGATATTTCGTTGTTTCCCTGGGAAGCCGGGGGAAAAAGTATACACCACACCACCCCGACGTCGTCCCCGACCCTCAAAAAGTCCTGGGACTCATGGAGCAGCCCGCCCGTCCAGCGGAAGGCCATAATCTTAGGAACACCCTGAGAAAAACCATAGGAATTGAAGTGCTGAAGGCGGAAATCTGTGAAAACCACTGGAAAAACAAAAAAGCAAACAACCAATGATCTTAGGGGGGAAAACCAGTCCACCCCAAAGGGGAAGTTGCATGGGCGGGCGGCATTGCTTGGAAACTGTTTTTTTGTTTTTTTGGGGGTCCCAGGGGTTTTCCAAAGTTTCAGCCTCCAGCAGTTCAGTGTCTTTGGTTGTTTGGTTGTTTCTCAGGGTTTTCCTAAAGTTATGGCGTTTCGCTGGAAGGGGGAGGAGGAGGAGGAGGAGGAGGAGGAGGAGGAGGAGGAGGAGGAGGTGGTGGTCCCGTCGGACGAGTCTTCCCTGGGATCTTTGTTGTTTTAGTTTTTGTTGGGTTTTCTTTTTCCCAGGGGTTTTCCAAAGTTCCAGCCTCCAGCAATTCAGTTTCCTTGGTTTGTTTGTGTGTCTCTCTGGGTGTTCCTAAAGTTATGCTTTTCCTTTGGAAGGGGGAAGGAGGAGGAGTAGGAGGAGTAGGAGGAGTAGGAGGAGGAGGAGGAGGTGATGGTGCCTTCGGACGAGTCTTCCCTGCTTTTTGTTTCTTCTTCTTTCCCAAGGGTTTTCGAACGTTCCAGCCTCCAGTAATTCAGAGTGTTCTATTTTTCTCCGGGTTTTCCTACCATCATGGCTTTCCCTTGGAAGGGGGAAGGAGGAGGACGAGGAGGAGGAGGAGAAGGAGGAGGAGAAGGAGGAGGAGGAGCAGGGGGAACATGTGGGGTGTGGGGGGGAGGGTGAGCAAGAGAAGAATGATGAGGATGAGAGGATTATAAGATGAAGGGGGATGAGGGGGAGGAGGAGGAGGAGGAGGAGGAGGAGGAGGAGGCTTTGCGCAAAATTCTCAAAATCGCGGGGGTCCGAAATCGAATCGTAACCACATATGTATGTCAGCGGTATCAAGCCACCCCAGTGGTAGCGGAGCGGTTCGCCCATCCTCGGGAGCCGCTCCAGCCCGGGCGCGCAAAGCTGCAGGCAGGCCTCCTGGCCTCTCTCGCAGCGCGAATGCCTCCTGCAGCGCAGGGTTTCATGTTCGTCCTGCTCTTCATCTGCGCGCTTGCGCGCCTGTGGATCGGCAGCCCGGCCCTTACCCTCAGCAGCTTGATGGATCCCAACCGCCACGACAGGGAGGACAGCTTCATTCCGAGCTGGGACGGCAATCCCAGCGTCGCGGATCCAGTACAGGGAAGAGGTCCGCATATGTAGACTGAGCCTCAACCTGGACGCGCAGTATTCGACAGCCGTTCGAACGCCCAGAAAACTCAAGGGAGCTGCAAAAGGAGAAGGGCCCTCACACTCAAGAACCAAGACCTGCAGGCCATCCGCCGAAGGCCCGCAGTGCTAGACGAGCCTGACAAGGACGGCCATCGAGAAGTCCTGGAGGAGGCAGTTCACGCAGACTACGAGCACGGCCTTCGTAAAACCTCATGGAGGCCCTCGAGACCCTGCGCCGGCCAAGGACCACGCGCAAGGGCGCGACGATGGCCGACCTCTTCGAGACGGCGAGGCACCAGAGGAGGCCCGGGGCCAGGATCTCGGACTACATCACGGTGTTCGACCAGGGGGTCACCCCGCTCGTCGAGGAGGAGGTCCGCATCACCGCGGACTCCGACGTGCTCGGCAAATCTGGCATGCGGAGGCTCAACGTCACCAGCGACCAGCGCGAGGGCCTCATTGCAGCTCTGCCCGACGAGAGCTTCAACCTACGAGAGATTCAGACCGCATCCATGTGGGCATTTCAAAATATACACCTTATTGAAAGCGGTCGGCTGCCCCTCAAGCCCAAGGGAGCCCCCAAAAGGGCAGCCACGACCCAAGCAGTGAACGCCCTCGAGCACGACTGCGACGAGGACGACTACGACGAAGGAGATGGTCAAGACGACGGTGGAGTCGAGGAGCTCGTCCAACGTGAGCTCGAGGCTCTGGTCTCCGAGCTCGGCGACATCGACGAGCAGGACCTCGACCACGAGCAGGCCGACGCCGTGGAGGAGGCCGCGGTAAGCCTCCCGGAGCTCCCAGAGGCCTTCGCCACCGTCCGCTCTCCTGGATCGGGAGGAGGAGGAGGAGGAGGAGGAGGAGGAGGAGG